GGAGTGTCTGTAAGAGATTATGATCAAGACTTTTTTTCTTACTATAGGAGTTCTTTTGTCTCAAATAAGGAAGAATCTTACCTTAGCTACAAAAGACTCAGCACCTCACCATGTCAAAATGCTTATGTACTCAGCGGTAAGTTTGGCGTGTTGAGTCAGCTACCCAGTTTCCTGATCTTATCCTCCCTCGTCATTGCAAAGGACAGATCCAGATACTTTCCGTGTCTCCCCTTCTGTAATACCCTACAACAGCGGTCCCCAACCTTTTGGGCACCAGGGACCAGTTCCATGGAGAGAGGCCTTTCTGAGGACCGAAGGGGGAGCATGGTTTTGTCCCCCTGGATTAACAGAACAAAATAACAGAGTTGTAATGGAACTTGGATGTCTTCTAGTCCAGCCCCCTGCTTAAGCAGGAAACGCTACCCCCATGGGGCTTCCCAAGTTTGCATGGTCCAGTTTCTGGCATGCCACAGCTTGGTCCTGATCCATGGACCGAGGTTTGGAGAACTTTGCACTCTGAAATACTCTTCATTGTAAGAATAAATGCTAACTATTAATCTATGTTCTAGAATCACATTAGTTTTTATCCCACTGTAGTTCAGGAAATTCTTTACTTACAAAATGCATTTTAGATTGTCTTCTGTGCACATCAAGGGGAAGATTCACATATTTCTTCTTCCCTCAGCATGACACCACTCTTGCGGCACTGCAGACAGCTCTGAATGTTTACAATGGGAAGCAACCGCCCTATGCTTCATGTCATATATTTGAACTGTACCAAGAAGATGATGGGTGAGGGCTTTGCTCAGGATATCAAATGGATATAAGGACTCAAAGGCAACTGCATGCTGAACTTTAACATTCAGAAAAGACAAATGACTTTAAAAGAGAATTACAATCTTCACAGCAATTCATAGTCACCTTTTCCAATCTGTTTAAAATAATTATTATTTTCCACCAATGCCACCAATTCACTTTGATGTGAATATGAGAAAATAGCCAGTAACCTATGCATTATGCAAGTACTTTGATACAGTTGTGGACACAATATTTAAGAACAAATCCTTTCCACCTGTTATTGCCTTGACATGACAGGTTGTGATCCGATACAAAAAATATACCAGAGAAATAGCTATATTGCATAAGGCCAGTGCTCCAAATTGGGGGGGTGGGGTGGGGTATAACCTTCTAGATTTCCAGTATTAAACAAAGGAGATTAGGTTGGATAGAAGCTGCCTGCTTCAGTGCTTGGTTCCCATAGAAAATGTGATATTAAACAGCTGATGGACCATTAATACCTGTTTCTCTCACATGTCTTGCTTCCAGTAATTTTACAGTGGAGATGTTCTTTCGGAATGAGTCTCATAAGGAGCCTTATGTATTGCTGCTTCCCGACTGTAAACAGCGCTGTCCCCTGCAACAATTCCTGCAACTTACAGAGCCGGTTATTTCACAGGACTGGAAACAGGAATGTCAGATAATAAGCACATGGAACAACACAGGTGAGTGAGGTCGGATGAATCTGAAGGAAGATTCGTGTAAGATTAAACCATTATAACCAGGATGGTTTTTGTTTCACTCTTTTCCAGAACTTATTGTGACTTTGGCTGTCAGTGGATCTCTCCTCTTCTTACTTATTGTTCTGCTCATGACAGTACTCATCCGTGTGAAGTCCCAGCCTCTTGGCTATAGCCATATTTCCAATGAAGGAGAGGAACAGCCTTGACAATTGCTTCAGCCCCTCCTGAGACAGCAAGAGGAAACAGAGCTGATCTTTGGGACAAATGGGGCCACATTCAATGACTAAATATCTTACTGATTTTGATTTTTGAAGCACAAGAGTTGACAGTGGAGCTGCTGCAACTAGCAGATGCATTCTATCTAGCACAGCATAATGCAGTTAGTTTCTAGGAGTAAAGTGCCAACATGGTCTTAGATTGCTATTTCTCAGTGCATGACTAGTTCAACAAGGTTAGGCTTTTCTTTCTCTGAACTCAATATCCTGTCTTAATGGTATAAAAATGGTACAGGAAAGTGGCTCACTGCTCCTTAAAAAGCCTTCAGTCTAGTAGCTGCCACTTGTACCTGCCTTCTACACTGTGACAATGGTATGATGCTAAACCAGCAATAACCAATCTACCGAGTAATTCAGAAAAAATCATGGTTTCTATCGTAGAAAACAGCCATAGGAAGAAATCTTAAATTTATTCGACATAATGGGATTCACTTCCAAGTCAACACACACAGAATTGTGCAATAGGTACTTTACTCAGTCTTTAGATACTCAAAAGATAGGACAAGTGATATTAGAGTCCTCCCTGCCCTCTGTAACAGAAAAGGGTTAATCAAATGTAGGCATTCAAGCCATTATTTACATACCTATGATACATCATGCTCAGTATTCTGGACAAGAGGAACGTTAAAAGAACATGTGCTTTAGGACACATGCTCAAACATTCAAAGGTCTTATTCAAATATCTGTGGTAGAAATATGTATGTCTCTGGTTTTACATTCCTAAACTTCATTTTGAAACATGCTGCTGAAGTTAAAGACCAGATAACTTTTAACTTAGCAGGTTCTATTGTTATGTAATATACAGGGTCATATATATTTGGGAGATCAGCAGCTCCCAAATCTTCCCTAGTCCCCATTCCATTCCACTGCTGCTGGTGCCACACATTTTCTCTTGGCTCTTGCGTAAACCCTTTAACTTTTGCCCCCTTTTTTTTTACTCTTTGACCTTCACTGATTGCGCTTCACCTCAAATTGTAAATTCCTTCTTTACACAATGCAATGCAACATAGATGTCTTTCTTATTCCACTCCATGAAGAGAAAATTACTACACGTACTACCTCATCAAAAATATTTTATATGGCATATAAAAATCACAAGCCTATAATTTCAAATATTCACAAGACATAGCCAATTTCTTAACTTTAATCAAAATATTCGTTCACATTTTAGAGAAAATAGTACTTTCCTTAGATCTGAATTCTATAGGATCCGAAGTGCTCCTGAAGATGTGCAATGTATTTCCTTCATCCCTGAACAGTGGAATCTGAAGATAAGAATCCATAGTATAATTGCCACATAGTCCATAAAACCAGCACTTTTTAAATTACCGCCTTTGGGGGAAAAAACCCAAACCACCAATTTATTGCTCCAAGTTTTCTAACAAGTTGCATAAAAATCCTCTTTTATATTTATCTACAGGACAATTTTCTACATAATCTTTTTTTATCTTCAACTGAAGCATAGCCCATCAATTTGTTTGCAATAGCAGGACTAAATGCTAAGAAGACAGCCCATCCCACCCTTAGAAAAACCCCATTCTCTCTTTCCTTAAAACAGACTACTTAAAAAGAGCAATACTGGTTACTTGCCGTAATCAAATCCATCTAAGTATACAAAAATGCCAAGAAATATGAAGTAAAAAATGTAATGGTGTGTTTTGCTTTTTCCGGGCTGAAACTGCAATCTCCAAGGAGATACTGAAAAGTTCAACTCATTACAAAACATTTCACGTTACATTTCCTCTAAAGCCACTACATTCGTATCCTGTTACTAAAGAGTACACAAGACAATTGCCAAAACAATTCCCAATTCCATTTGAAGTTGTCTTTCTTATTTTTCTATTGAAACTAATTGTATGATATCCTGCAGGGCAGGATAGAAGATAGAACCAAGAGAAACTCAGATAAATCACTTCCAGAAATGAATCAAGTCAACTTATATTCCAATTTCTTAACAGGCTAAGTTGTAAATAAAATAATGGGAAATAATGGGGAAAATAATGGGAAATAATTTGCTTTGCTACATAATGAGGAAAAACTATGATTTATTTCTTGAGACTAAATGTTGCTGTAATTCACTTGATCACTTTCTTAATGTTTTCATTAAAAACCAAGATGAGACTAAATTTTTGCTCCCTTTTTTATTGTTTTGCTCTTTTTGCACATGTCTAGCAGCTGGATCACAAGAAAAGATACAACCATGGGAACTTTTTGTATTGAGGTCAATTATAGTTAGGAAACTTGACATGGGACCAACTTCCCAGTAAATAATCCATTTTCTAGATTTTTTATGTATTAAAGCAGGAGTGCTTTTACTCTCTATTGCCCTAGAGGCAGGACCAGAACACAAGGTTAAACTACAAGCACGGAGGCTAAGTTCTTCATTAAGAACTTACTGATTATTCATATCATTTGCCAGTGGAACAGACTGCCACATGATATGAATTCTCTGAAGCTAGATGGTAAACTGTTAGAGATGCTCTAGTGGAAGCTACAATAAGCGGGGATTTGCATTGATTAGATGACCTTTATTGTCACTTTCAACTCAATGACTGAATTATACTGTATAAAAATAAATGTATTCTCCAGTGCGCTGCTTGGAGAGTCCAAGCATGGGTTAACACAGTCTATCTGCCCTTGGACTGAGTGAGTTTTTCTTG